TACCAGATCTGGTAAAACGTAAAGAGAGTAAATACAGCCACTCCGTGCTAGCCCTCAGACCATAGAACAATACAAACTAATAATAATTGATAAAAATATAAATAATGGTAAAAAAAGTGCACATAATATATAAACATACATACATAATAACAACACAAACCACCCATCGTATAAACAACCCCACCACGTATAACAACTACCCCACGTATAACAAACCACCCCACGTATAAACAACACTAACCACCCATCGTGATATATATATATATATATATAAACAAAGTCAAGGTATAGCATATTATCAGCACATTCGAATTTTATCTACACGGGTGTTCGTGTGTGACTTTACTTCTATATATTATATATATATATATATATATATATATATATGTAATATTATATATAAATATCACAATGGGTGGTTTTTATTGTTTATTTATGCTCTACAAATGGTGACGTTTGTTATCTATAGCGGAAGCAACTCGGGTTTGTTTCCATTTGTTTGCGTTTTGAATGGACAAGCAATGTGGAGAATGATAAACCACTGATTACATTACCATCATCTGCACTACAGAACCGATGGAAAATGTTTGAACATAAAGTAACAAACGCTGTTAGTGTTCATAAACGCGCATATCTATTGTTGACGTGCCTCAGGTACTGAATTTTGCATGTCTCTTCATATATTCTATCGGCATGCGAGTCGTGCGGCCCCTAATGCATGCTCTGTTTCTGTTCTGATGGCATTCATTTTCACTCGCATATTATACGCTATATAGCTCACGATAGCCCTGTAATGCAGGAGCAAAATCATCGGAGGGTAACATTAAAGAATCTGTAACAACACTAAACATTTCATAAGACCGTGCATCTCGTTTTATCCATTTTATGGCGTTCATGACTCTTCAGAGACGGTAGACGGTACATTTCAGTCTTTGAAATCAGTCCATAAAGACTGTGATAGTCATACTTTCGAAATTTTGTCATGTTACTATATCAAAACTATAGCAAAATCCTGGAAAATTAGCCAGTCCTGCAAAAAAAGCGAGTCTGTGGAGAGAGCGGTGATATTACTTTGTGGAATTACTATTTTGTTTTAAGATGCAGCGATACGAGAAACCCGCTGTTTTTTTTTGTTTAAGAGACGTGACAGCCATTATCTCATTTTTCCATAGATGCTTGAGATTTTTCACAAAGAGAATTAAACAACATTGAGAAAATAATTAACGAGGTCACGATATAACGGCTATTTAGAGCCACAGATTCACGTGGCTTTCAGCGGAAAATTGCTAAACGATCGAGTAGGCGATAAAAGGTTCTTTTTCTAACTCTATGAAGATCATAGTTACATTGGTTTTTTTCGGCAGCTGATCCTGATGCCCCGGAAAGTTTGAAACGTGTTGATTTTGATCAATTGCTATTTTACCAATTTTAACCATTGATTGTATTGCTCATTTCAGGTGAGGACGCTTTTTGTGAGTGGACTGCCTTTAGATGCAAAGCCTAGAGAACTTTACCTCCTCTTCCGTGCATATGAGGTATGTAGTCGTGTGCCTGTGCATGCATGTCACACACGCTATAGGAACTAAAGAGGTTTCACTATCTACACGCATATCGTAGCCACTATCGGTGCTCGTATTGGATTTTGTCAAGTACCGTGTGTGTGTCTAAGAAAGCTGCAGGTGTTATGAGTCATATGATATTATTAGGAGTGAATAGTAATAGATTATCTATTATTCACTCCTGGTAGTATGAGAGAATCCGGCATATCTTCCCGTGTGTAAATCCTGGTACCTGCTTAACCGTCAGCATTTGTTTGACATTTTTATGTTAATAATTTTATACTTATTAAGAATTTCTGTTCGATGTCAGACTATGCCATAGGCGGTAATTTTCCATAATATATCTCCATCTTGATTGCTTATCATATATGTACGAAGGGAAGGGCCTGAAGTGTCTTTCTGTTGCCCCCGTCAGTAGAAATATTTATTTCAGATATGTGGTTACCAATTTTTCTTATCCGTTGATTCTCAAAGATACATGAGTTACTGTCGTCGTGATCACGCATCTGTTATTTGGATCATTTCCAAATCATCAACAAAATCACCCACCACCCAATTTTCGCTGTATCTAATTCGTGTTTAATTCCGATTGAATCAATTATACATCAACTGCATATAACATACCAGCTCTAGGCTTATAGCGTGAGCAAATAGCTATATCATATATATATAGACCCGGATATGCTAGCAACCAAAACATTGATATCGTTTTCCGTTAGAATAGTTGTTTACTAATAATTTTACATTGCTGAAATTGCTGTTCAGAGATTCTGTGGTGTCGTATTTGTTTGTCCACGTAATGACCTCCTAAAGTCACAAATCCAATTTATTACATTTTCCTTTCTAATTAATTGCTCTCATGATTGAATTGGAATCGCCAGTATAATTAGCTTTATAAAGTCATAGTTTTAAAAGCCCTGTACATATTCCGTGTAATTGTTATTATTGTTGTTAGCAATAAATGTGGGAGTAAAACACAGGTTTCTATGCAGCGTAGCCTTACATGCATGGTCATTCTTTTGGGAAATAGACAAATATCCTTGATAGCGCCAAGAGCCATGCAGGCATTTATCACGATAACACGACCTTTTTCTAGTCTACTCTGTCTATGGTTTCTTTTTGTTGAAAGATCAAAAATATATTACAGTGATAAAATCGGGTGGAACACATACGGGTCCGATGCAGCTGTACATAGGGCATTTTAATCTTAAATAGAATTAAAACGACTAGATTAGTAGCCGAAAGAGTAATAGTAGAAATACATGCTAGGGATTCAGTATCAGTGATAGAGAAATTGCATGTTTCGGCAATTACGTTCATAAGCAGTATTTATAATATTATTTTAGTGATAATTCTTCCGAATAAGACGGGGTGTGAAATCGAAAACCTAATTAATAAATTTAATAAAGAATGTATCAGTCCAAAAAATTAGATTACAATTATATCATGAGGGATGAGTAATTGAATTCGTGTCTTAATTTTCTCCAGGGTTACGAAAGCTCATTATTAAAGATGACAAGTAAAAATGGAAAGACACAATCGGTGAGTGTTATTAGTTATTTTATTCCGATTATTTTTGCTGTTTTGCTTTAACTATGTGTAATAATTGCAATGCGGTAATAAATCGTTTTGCTCGAAAACATCTCGCCTGTATCTTTCACTTCCTATATCTGCACGTTGTATAATTATAGCGAACACTAATTTACTCATGTACCCGAGATCAATTGCAATACTTTCAGTTGGAAGTTGGCATATACACCTGTATTTCTGCGATTTTTAATAGATCGCATAGGTTTCAATAGTAAGATTAAACGCTCAAGACCAATGTTCAATTTATTTATTGGCTCTTGATTGTACTTGCTTATTTAGTAACGATATGCATACCCATTATGATTGCACTGGTTTATATATACTTGCACTTTAAATATAAATAAGAATAAAAGTCCCTTGCCACGCCGCTGTTAATCCATTAGACCAGGTGAATTTATAGTGATCATACATATACAGAGGTTAGTAAATGATTTTCAATTAATCATGTTTGTGCGTCGAAGTATACCAGTCGGTGTATACCAGCCGGTGTATAACCAGGCAAATGCACTGACTATTATGGTACCAATACCAATCACATACTAGTTAGCTTGGTTTCTCTTTCCATTTCTATGGCGGCACAATAGTAATAGCATTAGGCGGGCTCGGCTCAGTGATATTGCGTTCGAGGTAGTGTACATTGAAGATACTGCAATTCATGCTTATGCAACCGTACGCGCAACCGTCACCACGCAGTTTTATTGAACGAGAACTAGCGTGTAATCATAGAAATAATATAGATAACATATAGATGATATAGATGGTTATCAATATTATTTCTATGGTGCAGACCCCCGCGGCTGATACATTTCCGAATCAGCAAAATGCCG